TCTGCTCCCCCCTATAAATCACATGGTTTTTCCCACTGCATTGGGTCAGACTATGAGCAATCTGCTCCCCCTATAAATCACATAGTTTCTCCCATTGTACAAGGTCAGACAATAGATAGTGTCAATTGTCTGTACTTTTGAGGTGAACATAAACAAGAACAAATTGTAGGTACTACAAAAAGTGTCAGTTAACATGTGACAGATGTGTAATTGTATTCATGCATTGTTCTACCCTAGTTTAGAAATAGGGGAAAATATAATTAGAGTACATCCCACATCAACAGCATGTTACCACCAACAACAGCAATGAATAGATTATTAATAATTATCAACATGGCTGGCATTTTTTTGTACCTTATCTTTTTAGTGTACAAAGGTACAAGGGCCCACAGAGCCAAGGTCTGACCATCCATTTATTGACGATATCTACCTAGATTTTTTTTAATTTCTTGTTATTCCTGTTCTATGTAACAAAAAATACACATACAGAAACATCTAAAATGAAGTATAAACTGGAAACTTGAATTATTGCATAATTTTTATTGTATTGAGTTTTTGAATATTGAGTTGTATTTATGTTTAACATATGGAATGTTTTGCAAGATTTTATATTTACCCTTCCAGTGAAACATGAAAAAGAAAAAATGTACACTACAGTGTACATGTATACTCTCAAGGAGGAGAAGGATGAATGTAATATAATTTGTGAAATTCAATAATTAATTTAAGAAGTTTCATTACTGACAATATTTCTCCCGAACACCTAAAACACGCCAGTGATAGTTTATATGTACTCTTGTCGTTGTGCATGACAGGCATGCTTGTTCATGGTTATTTGCCAAATGAACTGTTAGAAACTATCATTGTCCCAATTATAAAAGATCGCTCAGGCGATATCACTTCCCGTGACAATTATCGTCCGATTGCTGTTGCTACCTCTATTTCAAAGTTGTTAGAATTAATACTTCTGAAACGGTTGGAGGATTTTATAACTACTACTGATTTTCACTTTGGTTTCAAGTCGAACCATTCCAGGGACATGTGCGTCTATGTTGTTAAGGAAATTATTGATTTTTATAAATCTCACAATAGTCCTGTGTTTTTATGTTTCATGGATGCATCGAAGGCCTTTGATCGTGTCAATCATTGGTCCCTTTTTAAAAAGCTTATTGAACGTCATGTTCCATTATTTATTGTAAGACTTTTGATGTATTGGTATAATTCTCAGCAATTCTATGTTAAATGGGGTTCTGTTATGTCAGATTCATTTGGAGTTTCTAATGGTGTTAGACAGGGGGGGTATTTTATCTCCTTTTCTTTTTAACTTGTATGTTGATGATCTGAGTATTGAGCTGGGGAATATTTCTGTTGGACTAAAAATTAACAGTATGTTCATCAACCATATGTTTTATGCTGACAACCTTATTTTGGTTTCTCCTTCTATTAAGGGTTTGATTTTTCTTGTAAAGTATGTGAGAATTATGCCCATGATTTTGATATTTTATTCATTTTTAAAAATCTG